AAAGAGATAACAGTTTCACTTGAAACAATATAAAATTCTAACTATAACATCGTTAATACTTTAATAATATGGAATAAAATGTGTTGAAAATGAAAACTGAAAATGGAACAGAATCATATATAAAGTATATATAAGCTCTAGGTGTTTCCTTTTAGCTATGGTTGCACTTTAAGAATTTATATTGTGTTACATTTTTTAAATAATTCATTTTTATTTAAATTTCCTGTGTTTTAATTCTATGTTGTAACTGAAGATTAATTTTGATTTCACTGGAAGTCAACACAAGTTAAATTTTGCTTCGCTTCTGAACGAAAAGTGTTTACATGGCAAAATGTTATTTTTATTTTGATTGATAAATGTTCCAGATAATTCTTTCAGGATTTTATAACTGTATTGCTATCTATGAATGAGTTGTATATTTTGTTTTATTTTATTTTATGAATAATATTAACGGATATTTTCTTATCCTCTTTGAGAATAGAAATGATTTAAAAGTGAAAAGGATTTTATCTAGTAATGCAATAAGAACACTTCTTTTGAATTAATGTTTTATTAACCGTTATTCTCAAAAGGTATTCTAATATTTGCTACATTTTCGAATTGTGAGTTTATAAAAATTTTAAATTATTATTCTGTAATATTTGAGAACAACTTATACATCTCATTGTGTTTTTCAAAGAGAACTACAGTCAAAATTTAATTTCGTAGAGCATTTAGAATTTTGTGGACATCATAGGCATTACTAATAGAAGATTTATCAAAGTTAAATTCTATTTTTGGGGTTTTATGTTTACTAAATTTGTGCATTTTTTTGTCCATTGGCAAGTGTACCAATCTTTGTAAAATGTAAGTTTCATTTTCGAAGTAATCTCAGATTAATGATTTTGTCCATGTTGTTTTTCAAATATTATGTAATTGTTAGGGGTAATTAAAAAACTCACAAAATTTCTTAACATATAATTTTTCTTCAAACAAATATTGAACTTTTCAATGGACATTGAAAGTAAGATAACACACATTTTTGGGACTAACCACAAAAAAGATCTGCAAGTCTTAGCCACAAAACTAGGTCTGCCCGTCACCCTGTAGACAAAAAATTCCATAAATTTCCAAATAAGTTCTGAAACATCCACTTGAATGAATCTTCGAAGTGATGAAGGTAAACATCTACACACAAAATGGCGTACTCAACTAAATCGCTTATTGCAAAAATTCAAGAGAACTGCTTGGAACCAGGGGAAGATCCAACCCCATGTAGTGAAAGTTTGAAGAGAATCAATTTGATTCTGTGCTGTTGAACAAATCCTTCTGATTCTATATTGTTGAATGAATCATTCCGATTCAATGAAGTTTGAAAAGAGTCATCCTGATTCTGTGAAGTTTTGAGTGAATCATCCCAATTCCATGAAGTATGAAGGGAATCATCCTGATTCTATGCTGTGCGATGAATCATTCCGATTCAATGAAATTTGTAGTGAATCATCCTGATTCTATGCTGTGTGATGAATCATCCCGATTCAATGAAAGTATGAAGAGAATCATCCTGATTCTGTGCTGTTGAATGAATCATCCTGATTCCACAAAGTTTGAAAAGAGTCATCCTGATTCTGTGAAGTTTAGGGTGAATCATCCCAATTCCATGAAGTATGAAGAGAATCATCCTAATTCTATGCTGTGTGATGAATCATTCCGATTCAATGAAAGTATGATGAGAATCATCCTGATTCAATGAAGTTTGAAGTGAATCATCCCGATTCCATGAAATATGAAAAGAATCATCCTGATTCTATGCTGTGTGATGAATCATCTCGATTCAATGAAGTTTGAAAAGAATCATCCTTATTCAAGAAGTTTAGAATGAATCATCCCAATTCAATGAAGTATGAAAAGAATCATCCTGATTCTGTGTTGTGTGATGAATCATCCCGATTCAATGAAGTATGAAAAGAATCATCCTGATTCTATGGTGTTTCGAGTGAATCATCTCGATTCAATGAAGTTTGAAATGAATTATCTTGATTCAGAAATGTTTGAATGAATCATCCTGATTCAATGAAGTTTGAAGAGAATTATCTCGATTCTATGCTGTTGATGAATCATACCGATTCAATGAAGTTTGAAAAGGATCATCCCGATTCAATGAAGTATGGAGGGAATCATCTCGATTCTATAAAGTTTTGAATGAATCATCCTGATTCAGTGAAGTTTGAAGAGTATCACCCTGATTCTATGCTGTACCATGAATCATTCTAATTCAATGAAGCTTGAAGGGAATCAACCAGATTTTATGTTGTTGATGAATCACCCCGATTTAATGCAGAGTATGAAGAGCACAAAAATATATTATGATCATTGACGTCTTACGAACCAGGTGATAGAGTATAGGAGACAAGGTAGACTAAACCAACATATTTCTGGCTCTTCGCTGACTTCGTCCTACAAGCCAGAGGGGAAGTCTGTAACCCCACGGCTCAACGTGCGCCACCTAGCGGCCGCCGTAATAAACAGCAGCCAAAAAAATAGACTCTAGCCTTCAATCGACGTGTGGGAGTCAGGGACTGTTTCCTCGAGATTTATTTTGTAATTTAAATGTGTAATTATAATGCCCTTAATTGTAATGTTTTAATTGTGTTTTGTTAATTAAAACTATTTAAAAAGACCAAGTGAATCTTTGTTTATGGTAGTTTTGGTTATGAAAGGTAAAATAACTACAATGAAAATAGCAAATTTCATCATGCTTCCTGTAGAAACAAGCCACTATAACTTATGCAAACATGCATAAATAAGAATATTAAATAGTTTTAAAAAAAGTTATCTCAGCATCTGAATATGTATGGAACATGAAAAATATCTTACCTAAAATTAGGCCATAAATATTCAAAAGATACAATGATAGGAAATTTCTAGTTGTGAGAAACTTAACTGCATTAATACAATAACGAATTTACATACAATCTGGTTTCTAATTTTTTCAAAGCAAACATAATATCAGTATAGTTCTTTCTGTATGCCATATTGTGCAAAAACCAAATGTACATATCCTAATTTTGCCTGTAAATAAAACCTGAAATTTCATTTATATTTGTGGAGGAGAAGCAATTGTATGATTACTGAAGTAATAAGAAAAGTCAACTTTTTATAAACACATATTACAACAGATAAAAATGTGTGTTAGTAGTCTGCAAAATAAGGTTTACTTTCTGTCTGAAATATTTATTAAATACATAAAAATAAAAGTACTGATGGTAAAAAGCATAAACTACGATAAACAATCAAAACTTAACAAAGACATGTAGCAAAATATTAGGAATGATGTGAAAATTAATTGCAGATTAGAAAACATAGGGTTTTCTAAAAATAACTGGAATGACAACACTGTTAGTGAACATTGTAATTAAGGAGAGAGCTGCCAGGTCTTGTTAACTCCGCATTCTGTAATTAAGTACAGTATAAAGTCTGTAATCCAGATGTCCATTATCCAGAATGATCTATAATCCAGACCTCAAAGCCACAAACTTTTTTTCTGTGATACATTACGCGCGCATGCGCATTTAATGCCACACATGCATGTTTAATGCTACGCATGTGCTTTTAATGTTTACGCATGCATGGTTAGCACAAAAAACAAAGCAACTTAAACAACTTACATTGAAAGAAATGTTTAATAAAGTAAACAAATAAATATTAAGCTTTTTTTTTTTTTTTTTTTTTTTTTTTTTTTTTTTTTTTTGTAAATTTTGATACTCTTTAGATCATAATTGCTCTTTATTTCATAAATTGCAGTTTCATATTTTTAATTGTATAAATTCTGGATGCCATCTTACCAGATTTAAATTTTCTGGATCTGTAATCCAGAAAAACCCTTAATCCGGAATCGCCGAAGTCCTGACGAGTCCGGTTCCATAGTTCGAATCCTGCGAACGGGCTGGCTGCATAGCCATTTTCATGGTTTTCCCTATGTGTAACGTGTATATGAACCAGTTTCCCTCAGAAAGTCCTTCACAAAGGCATCCCTCCCTTTAGGCAGATAGCCCTCGAGGCTTAGCATAAACATATAAACTAAAACTAAACTAAGTCTCACAAACTTGGAATCCTCTCAATCTAAACTTGTGTTGAGTGGTTCATCCACGGTGTTGATTTGTGTGCATTCCTGTTCACAGCATCCTGGAATTTTTTTGATGTGTGACCACACAGAAAAAAAAGTGTTACAGAAATTTTAATTAGGAAAAGTGAAAATGCAAATCAGGTAGTGCCTTGATGCTAGTACAGAACTCTCTGAACAGGACTACAATGTGTAAGTGTTAAGTATAATATAACCATTTAAAAAAGTTCCAATTATTTTTAGGTATCAATTTCATGATATTCACTTCAAGAAATTTTTATAAAATTAAATGATTTCTTTAATAAATAATAAAGTTCAAAATTGGCGACGCTGTAACATATAATTATTAATAATGAAAATAAAGAATTAACAATTTGCATGTAATGGTAAATGGATATTTAATGCAAATAATACATGGTATAAATTAGCTTGAATAATAAGCCAATATCATTAAAAAAAAGAAAAAAATGATATTTTACTAAACACGAAATTAAAAAAAATATAGCATAAAGAAGTTATTAATAATTAATTATAATGAATAAGAAACATCATTCAAAGATCATTTTAATATTAAATAACCTAGTTTTTCCAAGCTATAATGTTCTAAATTTTAATAGCAAAATATAAACTAAATATAATATAGAAATAATAGTCTTAAAAAGTTCTATTAACACTAGTTCATTAATACAAAACACATGCAAAATGATAAAGAATGTATCTAAATTGCACTAAAATTTAGCTTTTTTAAAAATATGTCAAGAAAAACAGTATTAATTTAAAAAGGTATCAATACTCTTTTTTACAACTGAATAATTAAATTTAATTTTTTTCATTCAAAATTATTTTTCTTTAGATTAAAAGTTAAATATGCATACAAAATGAGATCATGCTTAATTACCTATGGCTACCAAAGTTAGTTCTCTGGCCAGGTCCAGGAGACAACTTCTGACTGGAATTTGGATTCGATCGATTACCCCAAGCATTGTTTGAAATGCGAGTTGTCCCTCGATTCCCTCCTTGAAAATGAAATTATTGCAAAAAGTTTTTCAAGTATTAATTAACAACATATAAAACAAAATTCAGCTATGAATAATACATAAAAAATATCCAGAGAACTGTACCTGTACAACCCACAGTTTTTAAAATAAATGCAAAAGAAAAGTGTGATGTTATATCTGGTGAAAGAAAAAAAAACTTTATTGCAAACATGAGCACTGATATTTGAAAATAGTTACATAGAAAAATGTTCAAAATGTCCACACATGTATGCATATATTATGGAATGATGTCCAGCCGTTGTTTGAATCATATTTAAAAAGCTGTATTCTAGTAGCTGCTTGTAATCTTTGCATGGTGATAATGTATTCTGTTCATGAATATTGAGAATTAGTGTACTTGAATATTAGTGTAATGGTAATGTGGGAGTCCGGTTTTACAGCTGCCATGATCGCATGATCGCTAGACACCTTAGGATTTCTTCCTAAGGAGCAATCTGAAGGAACTGGTCTATTGAGACCTAGTTACTAGAGAAAATGACTTAGCTGCTCATCTTCATGCACTTTGGTGGCTACCACGCACTTGCAACATGTGCAGTCAGCCATTCCACAGCATGCACATGTATGCCTTAATATGCACAATGGACATTTCGAACATGTTCCTATGTAAAGCATATACAAATACTGATACTCATATTTCCAATAAAGATTTTTTCCCCCTTGCATCAGATATGATGACATACTTTTCTTTTGCATTTTATCTAAAAAACTATGGAACATACAAGTACAGTCCCTTGTGCATTTTTTATGTATTCCAACTGAGGAATCTGGTTGGGCAGAATTTGGGTGGTTTGATAGGACACCCTGTACTTTCCATTCTTATGGAAGTTGTCAGAAAGTAAAGTTATTTTAAGAAAAGCAATTTGTAACAGCAGTAACTGGTTAGTAATCAATGCTCCTAAACTGAGTGTTTAATATTTAAAGACATTAATAAAATTTACCCCCATACCTCTATTAGATTCTCTTCTACCATAAGGCCCAGGAGGACTGAAAAAGCGTCCACCAGCTCCTCGGGTTGAAGGGAACACTTGATTACGCTCAAAGCCTCGCCCTCTTCCCCGTGAACCTTCCTAAAAATTTAGATAAATAAATACATCAAGATATAAAAGAGCTAAGTTAAATACACTGGTTATCATAAATTAAGGAAAAATCACAAAAATCACGATTACTGAAAAAGTTACATGTAGAATTTAATGAAACTTACCCACAATATACAACACATAGTAAGTTATCAAATAATATAAAAAGAAATTGCCAGACAAATATGGTAGTATAGAAATTAGCACATGTATAAAATGAAAAAATCAAAGGTGTCAGTTTGCTATAGGAAAAGTACTTCAGTATGGAACATGATCGTCTCTAGAAGCAATACAGCACACACAGCGATGTGTGATGCTTCCAATTATGCAGTCTATCAGTTCCATAGGAAGCGGGAGCCACTGCTCTTGCAAAGCAGTTGCAAGCGCGACAAGGGTCTGAGGGGGTGGATTGAGAGCAGCTAGACATCTCCCTAAAGCATCCCAAACGTGCTCGATAGGATTCAAGTCCGGGGATCGAGCTGGCCACTCCATGCGCATAATTGTTTCTTGAAGATAATTATCTACGATACGAGCACTGTGTGGTCTTGCGTTGTCGTCCTGTAATAAGAAAGCATCAACTATTGCCCCGGCATATGGACGCACATAAACATCAAGGATGTCATCTCTATAAATCTGAGCATTCAAGGTTTCCCTTGGAAAGACATGGAGGTCTGTGTGTCCACCCAAAGAGATGCCACCCAAAACACAGACACTGCCCCTACCATATGCATCTCTTTCACGGATGTTTGACAGATGATGACGAGTTCTAGGTTCTCTCCATATCAAATAACGCCTCCTATCACTTTCTGGACTAAAGCTGGACTCATCCGTAAAGAAAACGCCTTTCATTGATCAGGCGTCCAGTGGACATGTTGTCGTGCCCACTGAAAACGGTCCCTCCTATGGCGTGACGTGAGTGGCACACAAATGGCTGGTCGCCTCGCATACAGACCACCTTCGTGAAGCCTTCTATGCACAGTTGACGTTGACACGAACCTTCCGGGTGGCTGCAGCAAGGGAGGATCTAAGACGAGTCGGAGTAGCGGTTCTATTCTTGCGTGCACATAATGCCAAATATCGGTTAACGGCGCTTATCATAGCAGTTGGCCGTCCTTGGCTGAACCTCCTAGATGCCGAATCTGTGGTTTGAAATTGCCTCCAAAGTCTATGAACCACAGGACGACTCACATTTAGCCATCTGGCTATTTCTGTTCGACTTTGTCCTGCCTCTAGTCTCCCAATGGCTCTCCATCGCAGTTCTGCAGGCAAATGATGCCTAAAGGTCTTTGTTACGAATTGGCTATCTCAAATTTCTGATGTCACTGTCACAGTGAAAATATGTGCGCTTGCTCTCAAACATGGATTTTTATGCTCCTCACAGATGACGTATTCCGAAAGCAGCGCCACTAATTTGCATATCGCAGTTTTACTCAGCTACTCTTACTTGGCAACATATTCAAATTTTACACAGTTTGGCTTATTTTTGAGGGAGTTATCGCTATTTTTGTGATTTTTCCTTAATTAATGATATCCAGTGTAGTTGTAAAAATTTATAACAAAACTTTGGAGAAAATTAGCATAAGATAAACTTTCAGAAAAGTACGTAGCGTATTCGGAAACTATGTACCATTTCATTCTAGTGCTGTTGCAGCGCTGTGGTAGGCGTACCGCGCATGCGCACTAGTCTTTCTTGTTCACTGACTTTCAATTGTCGCATTTTGGTTGCTCTATGTTGTGTTTTCAGTTTGCTGTGCACATTCAAAATGTTTAAGACAATTAGTTCTCCCGCTGACTGTGAGATTCGTGCCATGATTAAATTTTTGAACGAGAGGAATGTTAAACCGGCCGAAATTTATCGTCAAGTGACAGAAGTTTACGGTGAATACGCGATAAGTGATGGAATGCTGAGAAAGTGGGTAAGAATGTTTAATGCAGGTCGAACAAATGTCCATGCCGAGGCTCAGGGTGGTCGGCCTTCTGTTGTCACCGATGATTTGGTAAGGAAAGTTGATGAGGCAATTCATGAGAACAGACGCTTCACAATGACAACTCTTTTAGAGGCATTTCCACAAATTTCACGTACTGTTTTGTTCGAAATTGTGTCTGACCGCTTCAATTATCGCAAACTGTGTTCCCGATGGGTTCCAAAAATGCTCACTGATGTTCACAAAACAAAGCGACTTGGTAGTGCCCTGACATTTCTCGCACGGTACAGTGATGAGGGAGAAAACTTTTTAAACCAATGTGACAGGTGATGAAACTTGGGGTGTTCATTTCACACCAGAATTGAACAACAATCGATGGAGTGGAGACACACTCATTCTCCAAAAAAACAAAAGTTCAAAGTGACAATGTCATCACAAAAATCATGTGCACTGTCTTCTGGGATAGGAAAGGTGTTTTGCTTACTGAATTTCTTCCCAGAGTGAAACCATTAATGCGGCACGATATTGTGAGACTTTACAAACTAAGACGTGCCATTCAAACAAACGAAGAGGATGCTCAGTAAAGGAATTGTGTTGCTCCATGACCAATGGCTCGGCCCCCATACTGCTCGTTCACTCAATTAATCGACAGTTTCATTTGGGAGCAGTTCGATCACCGCCGTACAGCCCAGACATGCCGCCCGAGCCACTTCTTTCATCTGACATGAAGCGCGAGCTTGGTGCAGCGCTTTGAGCGTGGTCAAAAACTGCAGGGAGTCGTGGTTATTGAAACTGGCGGGAAGTTTCTTTGACGAACAACAAACTGGTCACCCGATAGGCAAGTGTTTGATCATTGGCGGAAACTAGTTGAAAAAGGGTAAGACATGTATTTTCATGTAAAAATAAAATTGGATTCGAAAAAAGGTTTTACATTTGTTTTGTTTTTTTTTTTTTTTTTTTTTTTTTTTTTTCAAAACGGTACTTAGTTTCCAAATACGCCTTGTACATACATCAAGCAGATTATGTGTTTTTATATAAAATCAGCAGAAAATATGATATAAAGACACTATATTATACAACATGTTAAAGTAAAGATAACTGTACGTTTAATTTATTTGAAATTATTATTAACTTACATAAACCTAAAACAGCATTTATGTTATTTCATATCATCAGCATTAATAATGCTCATTGAACACAAAAATGGCATTTTATGACATTCTTTATATTAGCTTAAAAGAAAAGAAGAGAAAAGAAAAAAAAAAAAAAACATAAATTTAAAAAAAAAAAACTTATCTATGCCGCAAATAACAAAATTACAGATGCCTACATATATGTTCATTACTAAGCAAAAAATACTAGGCGAATGTAAAATATACAAAACATTAAAAAAATTACTCATTATGATAATACCTTTGGAGGGCGTTTTGCCTGAGTTTGAGAACTCCCACCGGAATGGTGACTCTCTAGAGCAACAAAATCATCAACATGCATAGATGGTGGTCTACTAGTATTGGGTGGGCGAGATCTAAAGGGATCATTTGCTCTAGAGGAGTGAGAAGAAGCACGGGAAAATCCACGGCCACGCATGGGAGCAACTATTAAATTAATAAATTCATTATTACAAAAAATTTAATATTTCATATGTAAAATGTTGCTTTTTGTATATAAAACTTCAATTGCTGTTTTCAGCAACTGAAGAATATTTAATAAAATATTAATTTAAGACTACAAGTTAATGCTTGCATTTTTACTCTAACAGAAATGTGAAAAAAATTATTTTCACAACAAAAATAAAACAGACTGTTAATTTCATGATAACATCTTAATAAATTATTATAGTTTAACCACTACCGTGAGCACAAACATACATGCTCCATTTGAACCAATCTGCAAAATACGATGGATAAGGAATTCTTTTCATTCTTTTTCTTGTGTTTCTTTTCACTGTGTTCAAACAGCACAGACTTTAAGGAGGGAGAAAACAACTTTTACATAATTCTAAGATAATATATTGACCATTCATTTTGTAATTAATTGTTTGATTGCATTTTATATACTTTGTGCATTTACATATTTAGTTATTTATATATTGGCAATTATCAAGTCAAATATATAAACCTAAGACTCATCATCCATCATCCTATTGACAAAACTGTGGTTTGACAAGTAACAATAGTACTTATTGCATTTCAGGCTTTCTTTACTACTAAAACATTCTATGGCGATCTTTGTAAGTGGCTTCCTCATTTGCAATTTCTCAAGTAAAACCATGTGAACAATTATTTTTCCTTAATTTAACTCGGCAGTCTTCCATCATGCTGCATGCAAAACAATATACAAGTAAAACAGAAGGATGTCTTGCTCTGACATCATCAGTCACATCTTCTTACCCCCTCTTGTTTTAAGTGTTTAATACACAGGATTTTTTTTTAACTGACACTACTCAGAGCTGGGAAAAAAAAAAAAAAAAAAATCTGAAAGGTTTTTTTAAAGGTTTTGTGTGTTACCTTTATTTATTAAATATCATGTTCTTTGCACTTACACCATAAAATTCAGTTCCAACAGCAATGTTGCAAAATAATTTTAAAATGAGCATATCTTTTAAATTTCCGATACAGAGACTCACTCGCTGGAGATAAATTTTTTTTTTTTCTTTTTTCTGTACAACGTTGCCATTGCTCGCTTTGAAATCCTTGAGTTTTGTTCATGATCAAAATTCGTTAAAGTTTTGCAAAATATGAAATCAATAATAAAACAAATTCCAAATTTCAAATTTGGTCTTCCACATGCCCATATTCATAGGAGGATTAAGTCATTCAAAATTTGATGGCTCTATGTACCATTGTTTTATCACAATGCGAGAAACATACATACATTTCTGCATATTTTTCATTATTTAATTTCTTCAAATATAATGCAGGCATTTGGTGGCAACAGTTTGAAAAGTGAAACAGACATTTATAGTGATTCAATGCAAAATGAAAACAATAGTCCTTCAGGGGCAAAGCCCCTTTGGACTAAAAAGAGCAGCTCCAAAGTCACTGGTAGGGGGTGGATGGTGCTGTTGTAGTGTGCACAGTTGAGAATTTGCATAAAACACAGATAAAATTTGAAAATTCAAATGCATGATTACATAAATGACTATAGTACCAATAATTCAGTTTACAGAAATAATGGAAAAACATCAAAAGTCATTTTGAATATTAGCTGGGTTCAACTTGTGTACCTCAGCATGCATTATTTGTGAAGTTATTTTACTTTCAACAAATGAACACACCTGCCCTTCTTTGTGAGTTTAGAAGTCATAACAATGTATATAAAAGTCTTCTATCAGTTAATGCACTGAAAAGTGTGACACAGAATTTGAAGAAACAGGATCCTTTCTCAGTTCAGTCTGGCAGAGAGGGCAGTTGCGACAGCACCCACGGGTCCATTGCTGGTAACAACTGGATTTATAGCTATTGGTGGAATGGAAAATCTTGTGGAAAGTTCTCAATTTCTACCCACACAAGATAAGCCATGCACAGGAATTGAAACAAAATTATATAATACATGGGTGGCATTTACTATGATATTTCTTCCTAGGATGGAAGTTGACAATGTTTGGCCATGAAGATCTTTTTCAGGAGATGATGCATATTTTCACCTAAATGGAACTGTTAAAACTCAGAATTCTCAAATTTGGGCATCTGAACAATCCCATGCTGCTCAGGAAATATCAATACATTAACTAAAAGTCACTGCTTAAAGGGAATTCACAGCAGATTATTATCATCGGACTATTCTTTTTTTGACGACATCACTCTAACAGGGCCCTTATTATTACTATGCAAACGTATCATGACACAGTAGTTTTATCATTTCACATCTTCAGCAGTGGCAATCACTGGATCAAGTAACTTTTATTACAGGATGACTATAACACATTGATCTATTCGTTGCTGTGGCTGTTGTGCCATTACTTTACAGATGAAAGGGTTAGAAGTCACTTTTTTTCCACTTGCATGCCCGTCTCATCTGCCTGGATCTAACCTCACATGGCTGTGAGGTTATTTAAAGTCTGCCTTGGTGGGATCCTGACCTTGACAACCTTAAAGAACAGCGTATCATGAGCTGTGCTGAGCATTCTTGGTGACATGTTAAGTTCGTCCATTGAAACTATAGTGTACAGGATGCAACGTGTGGTCTCATAAAAAGGGTAGCCACACTGAAAGAGGTCTCTGCCCTCAATGATAAAGTGCTTTATTGAATAAAGTGCTATGGTGTACTGAAATATCATCTTTGTAATCCTTTGGAGAAGAGCATTTGCTGCACCAAAATTGACATGATTTTACCCCTCTCCCCACAACCACTTTCTTAAAAGATATGCAATTATTCATTACTGTTTATGCAAAGAACATTTTTTGGAATATTTATATTTAATATATGTATATTTTACTCTAAATAAATACCATACTTACCTGCATATTCCCCTCCCCTTGTGCATCGCTCCCAGGTTAGAAATTTTTCTAAGATTCGTATAATTTTCCTTTTCCTCAAAGCGTTCACAAAGTGAGCTTTCCTGAATTTTAAAACAGATTCATCCATGTACCGGTTGTTTTCATCTTACTACCTGATTTTCTCGTGGGTTTTGGGTGCATAGGTCCTGACTGATGAATCAATAATACAGTACAAAGTTCGACATTCGGAAGTCCAATATCTGGAATGACCTAAAATCTAGACCTCAAAGCCACCAACAACCCCCCCTTTTTTTTTTGTATGCCTTATATACATGCATATATTTTCCCCCCGTCATAATATATCATATGGAGAGTCCGATTCTTAATTTCAGTTTGGCACTAAATAAAATACCTCGTTATTGAAGAAACAATCATTTTAGGATAAATAATTTGGCTCTGTATCTGTGTATCTGCTTGGTCTCAAAATGAAACATTCTACATAAAAACATTGTTGATTTTGCACCTACTAATATTTTATATCCCTCATGCCAACCTGGCGAATCATTATTTATTATATTTTGCTTTCATCACCGCATTTTTATCAACATACGACAACTTGAGAAATGATTCATGCAGCGATGGCTCAATTTTTTTTTTAATATTAGTAACTGAATAACAAAGAGTATGGTAACTTTTTATGTTGACAATATGCTTGGCGATGATTACAGATTTAAGTTAAATGTGCTAAGATATGTTGACAAGGAAAACTTTAACAAAAATTTCTTTCCATATGCAATAAATAGATTTTGTTGATGATACTCATAGACCAAAAGAATAAATTTAGTGCTATTTGAATTAAGAACAACTAATTTGTTATTCACATAAACCCAGAACCAGCGCCACAGCTCGTATGGCCGCACCAGATGGCAGAATTTAGGGGAGACTTTTTTTTATTTAGAGAAGCACCAAGCAACAAAATTAGAGGATGACAAAATTTTTAGAATTTACGGAAAGCACTGGACCCAAAGTTTAGGGATGCTGAAAATTCAGAACTTAGGGAGGCACTTAGCAGAATTCAGGACTGACAGCATCAGGTAATAAGATACTGAGAGACTGCATCAGGTAGTAAGATATCTAGTGCCTGCCCTTGATAAGCCTTATGTATATGTGGGAATTTATTTATTCGGGACTCAGATAAGCATGTGCAAATAATAGACATAAGTATAATAAATAACTAATACAGTTTAGGCTTGTCTCAATGCATGATAGAAGCCAGACAAGATTTAGCTGAACAACTTGTTTTTTACACCAATCTCATAGCACATAGCCAATAATGATATAATAGATGCTATTAAGCTAGGCTAAAATTATATTTTGCTGATTCCAAGGGATTTTGGAATATAGCAGATTGCACTGTTCCTTAACTTTCTGATTTCAGCCAGCTTATTATTTTTTGCGGGTTGTTATTATTACAGCAGTTTTATGAAAATTAAAGTTTCAACTTTTCATTGTGTTGAAAAGAGTTTCAATTTGTGGAGCTGCAACAGGATGTACAAAGTGAAAGCATGTTTCAATGTACATCAAACAAAAAGTGGAATTCCTGAAAAATGCAGATAAAGGTATATCCTTCTCAAAATTATGCAAGGTGTATAGATTTGGAAAGTCAACTGTATCTGACATAACAGAAAAAGTAACTTTTTGAATTTTGTGTGGATTCCGACCTCCCCACTCACAATGAATAACAGAAAAATTATTCGTTATGCTAAAAGTGATGATCAAGTGGGTCAGACAGCATTGCAGCGAGGACGTGCCATTGATGGGCCTAATGCTATTTGGCTCAAACCAAAATATTTCATAAAGAAATAAACTTAAAAACGCACATATTCGACAGGTTGGTTAACCAAATTTAAAAATTGCAATGGTATAAGGCAAAAAACATTTTAGGTGAAAAAGCTTTAGCTGATACTGAAGATGCCGAACTATTTGCAGACGAACTCATGGAACTTATTAATAGTGAAAACTTATCTCCATAACAAATTTATAGTGCTAATGAGACTGGTCTTTTCTGGAACATGTATTGCAAAATACCTTGCCGACCTCCACAGAAAAGGCTCCAACTGGTGTCAAAGATTTCAAAGTGAGACTAAAGGCCCATTTCCACTACTGTGTACGAACACAATGCGTCAATTGAAGACACGCCTACAGCATCCGTACAAGCATTTCCACTGCTGCGTATACGTAGATTATTTTCATTTTCTGCTGCTAGGTGTCACTGTAATATTTTGGCGCCAAACAACCAGTTCGCAAATTATGATTCTGAACATCTGAATTTTTCCTGCTTAAGAGAGTATTGTTTGGATTTGATATAGATCCTGACGTAGAACGCAGAAAAGTTTTGTTTACTAAATTCCATGTTGTTGGAAATTTTTATTTCTGCTTATGAACTGCGAAAGTAAAGTACACTAGCAATTTTTAGATAACTAAGGTTATAATGCATATTATGAACATAACTAATTGCATAGAAGCTGAAGTAAAATTTAAAAATTTCTTTCCGTTTCTAGAAGCCTTAAATATAAATGAAATAATATATATATATATTATTAAAACTAAAGTGTGCTGTTGCTGAAAAAATAAACAAATAAATAAATAAAATAAAAAAAAGTTAAACAAATTAAAAAATAGTCAGTACTTTAAAAATACAGAGCAACTGTAAAGAAAAGTTCACAATATTTACACAAAATTTGCTATGCTTGTATACTGCTGACTTCAGGGTCATAGCTGGATAATTTATTAGAAATCTCATTTGTTTTAAAATGCACTATGGGCAGTTATATTTTGTGCATAATCCATAAAATATTATTTTTAATTTAAACATTTTTAATTCATATCTCTTTTTATAGAAGAAATTATAAAAATAAGCTTTATATATATATATATAAGCTTTTTATTTTTATATATACACACAATTAGGTAAAGAAATTGGAAATAATTAATTAATTAATTCCTGCGCTTCTGCTGGAGAGGACTGAATTTAAAAGCAATTATTACAGTAATTTTTTGTTAAAAAAATGTTTAGGGCATTAATACTGTCTCGTGTTAATTGGTAATGAAAGTTTAGAGACGTGAACATCCCAAAGTCTGAGCACATGTATGTACATTCACATAAAAGTAAAACGAAAATATATATATATATATGTACAGGGTTTCAAAAGAATAAATACTAAATTTAAATTAAATTTAAATAATTCTCTTGCACCATTACTGCAAGGAATGAAATTTGAATTTAACAAACATTCTCTATTCGTAAAAAGCAAATTTAAAGTTAATTAAATTTAAGTGAAATTTAATGCAAACAAATAAATGATTAATTATTGCTGCGAACTAATCTACAATATCATTTAAATTCTGAGAGCATACGTAAATCAAGTGCAAGTATCAAAATCCTTGAATAAGTATATAATTCAAATTTTTGGAATTTTTTCATTGTGATGACAATGCTCCTCAATTATCAATCAATTAACAGATGGCAAAATCCGTAGCATGGTTCTAAATCAGGAGAATTCTGCTACCGGTAGTGAAGAAAGTGACAGAGAGGTTACTGAAAATGGAAACATTTTGATCGACAAGATAGTTGGAATTCTGGACAAAACAATTACAGGACTTCAACAATATAACTCAACAAGAAATTATGTCTGTCTACAGAATTAAAGAGAAAGTATTAGCACAATAAACGAAGCAACTAAAACAACTTACATTGAAAGAAATCCTTAATAAAGTAAACAAATAAATATCAAGCTTTTTTTCTGTATATTTTAATACCTTTTAGACCATAAATACTTTATTAGTTCCTATTTTAATTTTATAATTTCTACATGCCATCTTATTAGATTTAACCTGATGATCTAATATCCGGAAAAATCCCAAATCCGGAATCGCCGAAATCTCGAAGAGTCTGAATCTTGTACTGTAGTGAAGAGCTTCAAGAAAATGGGGATGCCTAATACCTTCATGCTTTGAAGAGCATTGGATGTGGAAAGACAAACCAAATGGTGATGAAGATGATGGCGACAGTAACGATGGCAATGAATTGCTAGCTAAAGCAGATGACACAGACAGTAGTTCCAGCAGCATTAAATGATTTGAGATCTAGGCAGCAACAATAAGAACAGGTGAGATTTAAGATATAGGGAAGAAGAAATTAAGATGTCTTATTACATATTGTAGTGTTAATATCACTACATATTCTTATTGGAATGTAGGTTTCTTCTAAATAATATTGCGGTAACTGCTGGTAGTTTATTCATGAATATTTTTCATTCATTATACTCTTAATGTAACCATGTTTTTGAAATTAAATTACATGTATGATTTTCCCCTCTCGATTTTCATACTACTACATACCAAATTAGTAGAAAAGGGAAGATATGCAAGTAAATATGTTAGTTCCAAAACATAGAAATTTAAATGATGTATTCATGTTATTACGTTATAATGTACTCATTTGGTAAAATAGTTCTGAACTTACTGAAAGGTCTCTTATTATTCACATCAGCAAGGGCGGGATTTATCAGAGGTGTATATTTTCTCTTGCCACTAGCAGAACTAGAAAATTCATACATACACATATAGTATATGCAATATAATGAAATGTATTAGTCTTATATAATGATGAATGAAACTTATAATGAAAGTAATTCATATGATCATGAATGAACATACCCAAAACCCTTTTTCTTTGACTTCAGGTCACTATCAACATCAGTACTCAAGCACAAACTTTCTAAAGTTGATTTTAAATCAAAATTATCTATATTTTTTTCAGCTATTGCAATTAAATCCACAGGAACCTAGATTAAAAATATTGTTACCAAAATTTATCTTGATATAATTAGGAAATTTAAAAAGAAATAACACATAATCTTGAAAACAATGAAAATTAAGCTTGAAAAGAAAACAGACAATTAAAAAATTATTCAAATATAACAATTAAAACTGAAAAATTCTCTGTACAATAAAAAACCTGCTTTTTAAAGCTCTTTTGATAAAACCACCAGAAAAATTACAAATCAGAAGCAAATTATTAACTTATCAGCAACCTTATAGTTGTAGTGATATATTTTGAATCTGAACAGACTTTTTGAAATGAAGGACTAAAAAATATAATGCATTTTCTAATTTAAATGCCATACCTTTGTGGCCCATTAAAACAATGGATTACATAATTCACAATGAAATTTTGGATTCTTACTCAATTAATACATACTTCTGAGGAATATTTAAATACACACCCTAGTATTCATGAAAAACAAGTTTTTATGTTTCATCAATTGAAATATTTTAATTTCTATTTTTTAAATAACTTGATACCTGAAATGCAGTTAAAAAACTGAATTAAAATTTGGCATCTTAGATAAATGATGAATACAAATGAGGTTTCTAAAATAAAGTTTCTATTAGCAAAAGCACATTAAATCTTCATAAAATAATATTACTCATTTTAATTAGCAAATGAAAATTATATATGTAATTATCAGTCCAAAATCACTCATTAGAAGATGATTTTTTGTACCTTTAACTAATTTTTTTATGTCATAATAAAATTTCCTTAAATATATTTTACTGCAATATTATAAATGGTTTTACTCCTTTTCATTAGATAAAAATTACATACATAATTTGGAATTCTTAAACACCTTTCTGGCATAATATATTACAATGGGATTTTTTTTCCCTTTCCAACAAATTATTGGTCTAATAAAATGTTGATTATAATAAAAAAATGAAAATCCTTGATAGTTTTCATATTTTGTTATGTCTTAGAAGAAATTACATTTATAGTAAGTCTTAGAAGAAATTACATGTATAAAGACTATTAGACTATTCAAGGTCAATAAAATAAAGCACGCACAAAATAGTCTTATTTACCTCCAATTAAAGTAATGCTTAAATGAAAAAAAAAAAAAAATTATGGAGAAAATAATTAAATTTTTGCTCAATAATTTTGCGCATTGAAACATAGTCTGAGATGTTCTTCATAATAACAATTTTTCTCAATGAATGAATGTGAATAATATGAATATTTTTTTAAGTAAGATATATATTACTGACACTGTAATATGAAATTATAATCATTTATTAGCACATTATTTTTCATACATTAAAAGACTCAAAACCTGAAGAATACCATTGCTGTAGAAAAATTGCATGCAATTAAAAATAAAATGCATGCTTTTTTAAGATGATAAAAAAGAAGCTATATGCATATTAACTAAAAAAAATCTTTACAAAACAACTAGATTAACATGCTAAAATTTTAATCAATTCATTAAAGTTTAAACATTAAAAATTAAATAAAATCATTCCATTAAAACCACGAACATTTAACACAGAAAACGAAAAAACTAAAATTACAGCAACAGACCCTTTATCAAAAAGTTTCCTCTCCCACCCCCTTTTTTTTTTGGTGAATTTTGCAACTTTTTTACAAAACACATAGTAGGAGAGATTAAAAATTCACATTTTGAATTATTTTAATATAATGAGTAAAATTCCTCAGAACATTTCTAAATTTAATAGAAAAGCAATGTTTACACAGGGATTCCCCCCCCCCAGAGGTGAGGGTAATTCACTCCCAGATTTCTAGTTTTAGACTGCAACAAAAGGTTTGCAGAAAAGATTAACTATGACACAGTTCAAATCATTAGAGAAAAATAATCAAAACAGTTAAACACAGATATGATTGTATACATAACAGAAAATTCATTAGGAATGTTTTTTATTTACATTTACTAATGCTAATAATTTTATATAAATAAATATATAAATTAAAAACACTAAATGTAACACATCTTAACTCTCTCTCTCTCTCTCTCTCTATATATATATATATAGGTATCGTAAAATAAAGTGTGTTCAATTTTTAGTTTACACATGATTAGGAAATACAGTGTTTGAATAAAATTCTCAACATGATAATAATATTCCTGACATTTAGTAAAAAGGGAGCAGAAGAGGGAGAAAGAAGAAGGTTCAGAACCATTGATGTAAAACTGCACCTGAAACTATTTCTGATAATAATGCACATTTTATTTCCAATGACATTTCAAGTACACAGATTAAAAATATGATTTATGAAAGAAAAGATAAAAATAGAACAACAAAACAAAAAGTAAGAGATATTACGTATCATTAGAAGAAAGAAAATAACAAATTATCATATGTCAGACATTAACTTATTTAATAAAAGGAAGCTGATGATTATTATGGACAGTGGTTTAAAATTATCTCAGAATCAAGAACTTACTAAACAACGTGTATATGGCAAAACAGTTAAAGAATAATTTTCTTATTAAAAAAAATAATAATAAAGAAAAGAAATCAGTTCTTTATTCTAAAATCTTTAAAGATAGAGAGTATCCTTCTCTTATTTATTATGAAAAATGAAATTAAAAAAAAAAAAAAAGAAGAAGAAGAAGAAGCTAAACATCTATATGCCCTAAACAAAAACACAGTATAATGTAAAATTATGAAATACATAGTTCAAAGCATTAAAGCATTACCTTAAAAACTTGTGCTGTATAAAATAAATCCTCAGTTACTCAAAATTTAATTATTATACATCATATACTGATGTCTAGAAACGGGTACCATATAAAATAATACATTAATTGTTTATTTCATTGGGATAAAATGTTTAATTATGATATACATGAGTTAGTCCTTTAAAAAATATGAATACTATTTGAGATGAATCAAAGAAATAGTAAAAACAGCATTTACTCTAATTATCAGAACTCTGAAACAATTTTCGAAACCTACTACAATGCATAAATTAATATTGTGTGAACTACAAAACTACTGAAACAGAATCTCAAATAAAATATTAATTTAACAATACAGTAATATAATATATAATTATATTAATAAAACATGTTTCAATATTTAAGAGATAAATAACTAAATTCAGATTTTTAGTTTTATACTATTTATTGCAGCACACAGCATTCTCTATAAAATACTGAGTTCAAGCATTAACAGTGTGTGACAGGTATAAAAATTACTTCATTAAAAATATATGCAAGCTTTAATTAGTAAAGCTCACTTTTTAATTAGTAAAGCTCACTCAACTAAGACTCTTCTTCTCATCCTAATAAACAGATAAAACAATAAACCATAAAATTTCTTTAGCTTTATCACTGATAGTGCCAAGGCTCTTACTTTTTCTTTATTTCACCTATGTGAGCAATTGAAAATTCAAATTAATTTTAATTTCCGCTGTCATTTAATTCAAATTAAAAACATATATTGGATAATTCTGAAACAAAAGGAAAGACAGCCACAATTCCAGTACTGTAGTTTCTGCATCTAATCTAACACAAAGCTCAAAATCAACTCTCAAATATTAATCAACTCAATCAACTCTCAAAATATTACACTTAACAAATTCCTATATTAATACTTTAGGCAGCAATTCTATTTCAATGATTTTTTATTTTTTATAAATATCAATGATTAATTTTTCTTAACTGAAATCAAAGCTTCAAAACAAATCTCCTAGGTGTATCTTTTCTGATAGAATGTGACAACAAACTTAAATAAAGGGTTTGATACTGTACAGTATTACATTCTCTACTTTTTTTTAATTACTTGAAAGGTTAGAAATCAGATATCTATTAAATGTTAAATTTCTGGAAGCAATACAATTTATGAAATTAGTCCCAGACAGCAAATGAAAGGGCAGTTTTTCTTACCTCATTTATGTCCGCCCTCTGAAATGTAAATTATGTCATCATAAAATCAAACAAAATTGTTGATTCTCAAATACAAACATTCAGTACTAATACAAGGAATATTTAAAAAGTCATGATACTCTAGAAACAAAACTAATAAATTTAAATTCAAATTCAGCGTTTTAATGCATATATATTTTATATGAACATTAGCAATACATTAACTTAATGAGTGCTTCAGTTTATTTTCCACTCATTCAAGATGTCTCAAAATTACATCTATAATCTTTGAAGTAAAGTAGAGAACACCAAAAAGAACATATTCACACAAGAAAGCATTTTAAAATATGCCATCAGAAAGTGACATTTGGCTTTTATTACCTGGACAAGTGACACAGGTGGCTGTTCAGCAGAATCAAATCTATTCTCATTCCAAATGAACCCTAGATATATTAGATTTTTTGGAAGAAGTTCAGCAGAACTTACCAACCAATATTCCAGGATGCATTTCTCTGCTGATGTGGTTTGGACACAGTGTGGCTCTGTTCCATTATGGTATTTATAGTCACGAGTATATGAACAGGCCCTCAGATTGGACATTTTCAGCTTGATACATGTCCCTTATGGTCACCAGGTTTATCTAGCATTAATTTCTTTTTGTGAGGAGCTCTCAAATAAATGGTGTACAAAACACATACTACCTCTGACATGGATCGCCTTGCCAGAATTAGTAGTGTTTTAACTATTATACCTAAAACTCCAGGTTGAAGTAAACAATGTGATACTGATGTGAGGTATGCATTGCTGCTAATAATGCTAACTTTGCACATCTGCTGAGGCATCATTTTCTGTACCCACCATTTTCATTAGATGTGCTAAAACTTAACACTACTGATAGTGTTAAAGTTTTAGCAATTTGTATCTTTTCTATCAGCTTCTGGTGGTCTTTTCAGTCATATATTCCAATACGAATATGATTTACTTAAGTGTGCTCTACCTTTCACCAAAGTTTGTAGATATAATTTTGAAAAAGAATTTGTATAATGAAATAACATTCATAGGCTGCTTCAAATATTGGATACTTAAACCAAGGTTTGGGTCATCATGTATTATATTTT